CTTCATCTAAAGTAAGCATGTACTAAAAACCCTATATTTTTTTCAAAGTCCTGGGTATTAAGAACTGCCCTGTGCCCTCCGCGCAGCTGCTGCAGATCTCGAGCTGCAGAGTCCCGAAGTGTCGAGGGCGTCTCGGGGCGGAGCGCCTGGCCCGCCCCGCCGACGCATGATGTTCGGGACGCAGGAGGCCACCTGGAAGGACAAGGGGGTCGCTGCCGATGAGGCGGGGGAGGAGGACGAGGAAGGAGGGGTTGATGCTGAGGAGGATGAGGAGGAGGAGGGGAGGAGGAGGATCAGGGTTGATGCTGAGCAGGAGGACAACTGGTTGATGCCGAGGAGGGGGAGGGGGGGAAGGAGGAAAAGGGAGGAGGAGGAGGATCAGTGCAAACCCAGAGCGCCTCGACGATGTTGCGATGAACCCTCCCTCCTGAGTGCCCTCTGAACAGGAGCTACCCATAAGGACAATGGGCTGATGCTGAGGAGAAGGGGAAGGAGGAAGAGGGAGGAGGAGGATCAGTGTAAGCCCAAAGCGCCTCGACGGTTTGCGATCAACCCTCCCCTCTGAGTGCTCTCTGAACAGGTCCCGACATCGTTTGTTCTCATGGAGGGAAGTGCCCCGTCGGAAGACAAGTGGCTGGTAATTTTCGATCGTGCCAGAACACACTTCCTGGGTTTTCAACTCCGCGGGTCAACGTGACAGTTGTGATCTGACAATCCTGTATCGTGTCAGAGAGGCGTCCCTGGGATTTCATTCAACCTTACGAATCCTTGAAACTGCTGCGAGCTTTTAGAACGAATGTGCGCGGCGCTAAGGCGATAGCCACATGTTGGAAAGGAACCGCCCTCCATCTTTGAAGCTGCTGCAGATGTTTTCAAGACGAGTGTACGCGGCGCTCAGGCGAGAACCACATGTTGCAAACGTGCCGCCCTTCATCCTCGAGACGGTTGACAATTTCAAGCTTCAGGATCGTAAATGTTGAGCGAACCTCTGGCGAACCGCCCAGCCCGCCCCACCGACACTGTTGGGGTCCGACAGGGAGGAGTTGTTTATAAGGGAAAGGAATAGAGGAGGAGGAGGAGGAGGAGGAGGAGGAGGAGGAGAGGAGGAGGAGGAGAGGAGGAGGAGGAGGAGGAGGAGGAGGAGGAGGAGGAGGAGGAGGAGGGAGGAGGAGGAGGAGGAGGAGGAGGAGGAGGAGGATCCCTGGGTCACCGCAGGATGGGCCGACGAAGGGCCGCCCCCGCCTCCCATCGGCAGCTCAGGGACGGCCTTTCGGCGGTCCTGTCTGCGGCCCTCCAGCGAAACGTCGGCAGCCCTTCGGTGTCCGAGGGCTCCTCGTCCTCCTCCTCCTCCTCCCTCCTCCTCCTCCTCCACCTCCTCCTCCCGCCTCCTCCCCCTCCTTCTCCCCATCCCTTATCCTCCTCCTTGTCCCCCCCTCCCTCCATTCCTTTCTCATTATACATTGCTCCTCCCTGTCGCGCCTCCAGACGTGTCGGTAGAGCGGGCCAGGCGTTTCGCTTGAGACGCCCTCACCATGTATGATCCTGAAGCTTGAATGTTTTCACCAGTTGCACCACTGGAGGGCGCGCGGTTTTAGAATGTGGTTCTGGCTTGAAACAGCGCCCGCTCGTCTTTAAAGTTTTCAGCAGTGTCAGCGATGGAGGACTGGTCGTTTTCAAACTTTGGCTCTCGCCTGAGCGCCGCCCACATTTGTTCAGAAAGTGTAGTAATGTTTGAAGGAGTTTCATTTTCAAACTGTGGTTCTCGCTTTAGCGCCGCGCGCATTCGTCTTACAAATCCACAGCAGCTTCAAATATTGAGGGCAGGTCGTTTTCAACATGTGGCTCTCGCCGTGGCGCCTCGCACATTAGTCTTAATCGCTTGCGCCAGTTTCAAGGGTTAGTAGGCACGGCTTCCAGTACGGTGTTTTGGTGCTTTGGTACGGCTTCGGATTGATATGGCGCACAAGTGACATTGAATTGCGGTGTCAGGAGTGGTCTTCTGGCACGATTTCGAATCGTCAGTGCGCGACAATCACGTTGATCTGCGGCGCTGAAGTCCCAAGAATTATGTTTTGGAACGAATGAGGGTTCTCAGACGGTTGTCTTCTAGTAGGCCACTTATCGAAATAAAGCATCATTTCTTGTAGGGACCTATGAAGAGGGAATTTGGGGAGAGGGTTGATTACAACATCGTTGATGCGTCTTGGGTTTACATTGGTCCTGCTCCTCCTCCCTTTCCTCCTCCTCCTCTCTCTTTCTCCTCTTCCTCCTCCATCCTCCCTGTTCTCTCCTCCCTCCTCCTTCCCTCTGTGGCCGGCCGCCACAGGACAACCCCAAGAGCCGCGGCTCCAAGGCCCACGAGCGCTACGAGCGCTACAAGGCGGCGGCCACGGTGGGCGAGGCAGTTGGCCTCGGTGCGTCGAAGGGGGATGTGGCCAACGACGTGAAGAAGGCGGCTGCCGTCGCGGCCTCCGTGGTCGCAGTCGCCGCGGTCGTCTCCGACGAGGACGAGGACGACCACGACGACGACCGCAACGACGCCGACGATCACGACGACGACGGCAGTGATGATGATGCTGATGATGATGATGATGGTGCTGATGATGATGATGATGATGGTAATGATGATGACGATGTCGATGCTGCTGCTGCTGCTGCTGATGATGATGATGATGATGATGATGATGATGATGATGATGATGATGATACTGACGAGGGTGATGACGCTGCTGATAATGATGCTGATGATGCTGCTGATGATGATGCTGATGGTGATGATGATGGTGATACTGACGATGACGATGCCGATATTGTTATTGATCTTGCTGATGGTGATGGTAATGGTGATGATACTGATGCTGAGGATGACGAAGACAATAATGATGGTGATGATGATGACGATGCTGATGCTTATGATGACGCTGACCATGACGCTGACGATGACGATGACGATGGCGGCGACGATGACGAGGACGATGATGATGATGGTGGTGATGATGACGATGATGGGTTCATGATTATGATGATGATGGTGATGCTAATGATGATGTACATCGTTTTGACTATCACTTGTGATGCTGATGATGAGGAGGAGAACGAGGGTGAGGATGATGCTACTACTGCTGCTGCTGATGCTGCTGCTGATGATGGTGCTGCTCATGATGATGATGATGATGATGATGATGCTGATGCTGATGCTGCTGCTGCTGCTGATGATGATGATGATGATGATGATGATGGTGATGGTCATGGTGATGGTCATGGTGATGATGATGATGATGATGATGATGATGATGATGATGATGATGATGATGATGATGATGATGATGATGATGATTATGATGATGATGATTATGTTGATGATGATGCTGCTGCTGATGCTGAAGGAGGAGAGGGGGACGGTAATTATGGTGCGATGCAACAACAGGTCGAGGGGGATGGTAGTTATCGTGATGAGGAGGTTTGAGGAGGAGGAGGAGGAGGAGCAGGAGGAGCAGGAGGAAAAGGAGGAGGAAGAGGAGGAGGAGGAGGAGGAGGAGGAGGAGGAGGAGGAGGAGGAGGAGGAGGAGGAGGAGGGTAACTATGAGGACGATGAGGTCGAAGGGAAGCATCAGCAAGATAGCGATGAGGCGTATGATAAATACAGTTCGGATAGATGTGGGCGGTGATGCTGGTTGTGGTGGTGATTGTGGTGGTGGTAGCGATTACGGTGATGATGAGGAGGAGGGGGCAGAAGAGGAGGAGGAGGGAGAGGAAGATGACGCGAGAGACAGCGAGAGAGAGAGAGAGAGAGAGAGAGAGAAAGAAAGAAAGAGAGAGAAGAAGCAAAAAGGCTCGCTCCCCCTCGTCCCCCTCGGCGGCTGCGGCGGCAGTGGAGGCAAGGACGACGACGACGACGGCGACGACGACGGCGACGACGGCGACGACGACGACGACCACCACCACCACCACCACCATCGCCGACGACGACGACGACGACGACCGCGACGACGACCGCGACTGTCGCGGCGGCGGCCGCGGCCCCGGCCTTGCCCCGAGGGCTTCTGCACCGTCCTCTCGGCCGCCGGCGGCGCCCCCGCCGCGGCGCCGCCGCCCGCGCTGCCCGAGCCATCCGCGGCCTGCAGGACGCGCCGGCGCCCCCGCGGCGGTGGGCGGCGTCGTGCGCCGCGGTCGCCCTCTGCGGGTCGCGGCCGCGCCCGCGGCCGCCGTCGCGCGCGCGGTCGCGGTCGCGGTCGCCGCCGCTGGCATTGTCGTCTTCGTCGCTGTGCTGCTCCTCCTGCTCCCGATGATCATGATCGGGAGGGTGATGATGAGGAGGAGGAGGAAGAAGAGGAGGACGGTGCTGCTGCCGAGGAGGAGGAAGGGGAGGAGGAGGGGGCGCTGGTGCTGGTGCTGTTGCTGCTGAGGCTGCTGATGATGATGATTGTGATGTAGATGTCGATGTTGATGTCTATGTCGACGTCGATGACGATGGTGATGATGATGATGCTGGTGATGATGATCTGATGATGATGATGGTGATGATGATGATGATGATGATGATGATGATGATGATGGTGAGGGTGATGATGCTGATGCTGGTGATGAGGATGATGATGACAATGACAATGATGATGACGCTGATGATGATGATGATCATGCTGCTGATGATGATGATGGTCACGGTGATAGTGATAGTGATGGTGAGATTGATGGGTGATGGTGATGGTAATGCTGATGATTATGATGATGGTGATGATGATACTGCTGCTGATGATGATGCTAACAACAATGAGTATGATGCTGATGATGATAATGATGACGATGCTGATTATGACGATGATCATAGTGGGGACGGTGTTGATGTTGGTGTTGATGATGATTATGAGCATGAGGATTAGGGGGCTGACGATGATGATGACGATGATGATGATGATGATGATGATGATGATGATGATGATGGTGGTGGTGGTGGTGGTGGTGGTGGTAGTCATGATGGTGCAGCTGCTGATGATGATGATGATTCTGATGATGAGGATGAGGAGGAGGATGAGGAGGAGGATGAGGAGGAGGAGGCGGACGAAGAAGAGGAGGTGGAGGTGGAAAAGGCGAACGGGGGAGGAGTTGGGGTAGGAGGGTGGTGTGGGGAAGTGTGGGGAGGAGGAGGCGACGATTATCTTTTCCGACGGCGACGACGAGTCTTTCGGACCCTCCCGCAGGAAACGCGCGGCCGCGGCCGCGGCCGAGGGCCCCGTTGCGAAGCGGCGAGAAGCCTCGGCTGTCCCCGGCGGCCCAGCGACGGGCGCGCAGGGCGAGGGGTGGGGGTGCCCGAAGCGGAGCTTCGATGACTTGAGGAGTGTTGCGAGGAGGAGGAGGAGGAGGAGGAGGAGGAGGAGGAGGAGGAGGAGGAGGACGAGGAGGAAAAGGAGGAGGAGGTTGAGGAGGAGGAGGAGGAGGAGGAGGAGGAGGAAGAGGATAAGGAGAACGTGTTGATACCGAAGGTGGCGACGGCGTCGTTGGCAAGAGGCGGAGCAGGAGGTGACGAATACAGCGAAGACACGGAGACTTCATCGGCCTAGTAGGTCTGCTCACACACATGTGTGTATATGTATATGTATAGATATCCGAATGACAGGATACAAATACTGATAGTCGTAGTAGTATAGTAGTAGTAGTAGTAGTAGTAGTAGTAGTAGTAGTAGTAGTAGTAGTAGTAGTAGTAGTAGTAGTAGTAGTAGTAGTAGTAGTAGTAGTAGTAGTAGTAGTAGTAGTAGTAGTAGTAGTAGTAGTAGTAGTAGTAGTAGTAGTAGTAGTAGTAGTAGTAGTAGTAGTAGTCGTACTACTACAACTACTACTCAGAATCGTACCACCATTCGTAAATGCATGTCGAGTGCTACTGTTAATAATCGGAGTAAGCAGTGTGTTGGTTCCCACAGTACGAACGACATAGCTCTACCACCAATTATCCTAACACCAGTCGTTGCATTGACGCTGGTGGTAATAATGCTAAGACTTGTGATGCTAGTAAGGCTGTCATAAACATGCTTATAATCGCCGTATCACAATTCATATACGGCAGACAATTCTAATTAACGTAACGATACTCGCCAGGTGTACAATACAAATAAGGCTAACACTATTATTCTTGATCTCACTGCCAATATCATCAGTGACATGAGTAATGCTACTACTACTACTACTACTACGATTATTCTGTATATTAAGTATAATAATAACAATGCAATTTAAACCTACGGGCATTAACACTAATAGTAATATTCAGGATGCTACGATTAACAATAGTACTACTGTTACCACGACTACTAATCATACTTATACCATGGCAGTTATACTAATACTTCTAACAGTCTTACGTATTGTAGTCACCATACGACGTATGTTAATAGTGTAGTCGTGCAACTACTATTACTACGATTACCAAATCGTGCTATTGTGTACAAAGATCTGAATCATACCGATACTTCTCACAAAAGCAAGATGAAGACCGATACCACCACATCTACTACTACTGCTACTACTACTAATACTACGACCAGTATTGTTACTATTATTACTGCTACTACTACTAATACTGCTACGACTCCTGCTACTACGATTATTCTTACTACTACAGCTACTACTACCATTACTACTCCTACTCCTACTGCTGCTGCTACTACTATTACTACTGCTACTACAACTACTACTACTGCTACTACTACTACTAGTACTAGTACTAGTAGTACTAGTACTAGTACTAGTACTAGCTAGTACTACTACTACTACTACTAGTACTAGTGCTACTACTACTACTACTACTACTACTACTACTGCTGGTGCTGCTGCTGCTGCTGCTGCTGCTGCTACTAGGTCTACTACTACTACTACTACTACTACTACTGCTGCTGCTGCTACTACTACTACTACTACTTCTACTACTACGGCGACGACTACTACTACTGATGCTACTACTACTTTTACTACTGCCACCACTACTACTACTACTTTTACTGCTGCTGCTACGACGACTACTACTACTACTACTACTACTACTACTACTACTACTACTACTACTACTACTACTACTACTACTACTACTACTACTACTAGTACGAATCACCCTGAGCGTATCATTGATACTAGTACCACATACTGGCAAATCTAACCAGAGTCGGGGCGAAGGAGGATGAGGAGGAGGAGGAGGAGGAAAAGTAGGTGGAGGAGAAAGAGGAGGAAGAGGAGGAGGAGGAGGAGGAGGAGGAGGAGGAGGAGGAGGAGGAGGAAGGCGGAGGAGGACGAGGACGAGGAAGAGGAGGAGGAGGAGGAGGAGGAGGAGGAGGAGGAGGAGGAGGAGGAGGAGGAGGAGGAGGAGGAGTATGAGGATGGTGAGGAGGAGGGGCAGGAGGAGGAGAAGAGAAACAACAAGGAGGAGGACGAGGAGGAGGAGGTGAAGGAGGAGGAGGAGGAGGAGGGGTTTGTGGGGTTTGGGGGGGTTGCTGACAGTGTCGTCGCGCTGCTCGTCGCCACCCTGGAACTCCATATGGGGCCACGATACGTGTGAGGGGTGTGCCGCATTGTGTGTGTGGGGGACGCATGCGGGCGGTGGCACTTGGGCCTTCGGTGGAGCTCCATATGGGGCCACGAAACGTGTGAGGGGTGTGCCAGAATGGGTGTGGGGAACGCATGCGGGCGGTGGCGCCTTGGGCCTTCGGTGGAGCTCCCTATGAGGCCACGAAGCGTGTGAGGGGTGTGCCGAACTGGGTGTGGGGGACGCATGCGGGCGGTGGCACTGGGGTCGTGGAGCTCCCTATGGGGCCACGAAGCGTGTGAGGGGTGTGCCGAAATGGGTGTGGGGGACGCATGCGGGCGGTGGCACTGGGGCGAGCTCCCTATGGGGCCACGAAACGTGTGAGGGGTGTGCCGACATGGGTGTGGGGGACGCATGCGGGCGGTGGCACTGAGGCCTTCGGTGGAGCTCCCTATGGGACCACGAAGCGCGTGCGGGGTGTCCCGAAATAGGTGGGGGACGCATCCGGGCGGTGGCACTGGGGCCTTCGGTGGAGCTCCCTATGCGGCCACGAAACGTGTGAGGGGTGTGCCGAAATGGGTGTGGGGGACGCATGCGGGCGGTGGCACTGGGGCCTTCGGTGGAGCTCCCTATGGGGCCACGAAATTTGACAGGGGTATGCCGAAATGGGTGTGGGGGGCGCATGTGGGCGGTGGTGGCACTGGGGCCTTCGGTGGAGCTCCCATATGGGGCCACGAAACGTGTGAGGGGTGTGCCGAAATGGGTGGTGATGCTGGTGATGATGACGGTCGTGATGATGATGATGATGATGATGATGATGATGATGATGATGATGATGATGATGATGATGATGATGATGATGATGCTGATGATGATGATGACGACGATGATGATGATGATGACGCTGATAGTGAGGATGATGGTGATGACTATGATGATGACGACGGGACGAGAGGAAGGGGGAGGAGGAGGAGGAGGAGAGGAGGAGAGGAACGCGGGGCGACGTATCTTCAAGACGAATACCCAACACCACAGGATGGTTGGGAACAATCAGGTAGGATGTACCCCCTGGTCTTATCGCCACACCCTGGGATTGTGCAGTTTGCATAAGAATTTGCCTCATCGCTCATTCAAAGTATGAAGGCACACCAGCACAGGGAGTGCCCCCATCGACCCCCCCTCATCCCTGACAGATACTGCCATGCGCGCGCATTCGTTCGTCAATCGCCAGCCACTCCCAAAAATGCCACTGGCAAACCATGAGAAAGAGTCGCAACGCGTGCGTTGTCGCGCGTGCACGCCAGAATTAATCAAAAGCTTCAGGGTTCGTTTGGATTTAAAGATCGAGGTTCCCAACCACAAATAGCAGTTCATGAATTTGCAACACGATTTCTACGAGGAGCATCGCGCGCTCGCTGCGACTTCTGAAGGAAGCCGTGCGGTTTCAACATGTTCATCAAAGGCGACCAGGCGTGCCTTTCGCGCCCTCATGTCGGAATCAACCGAACGCCCTTGCGCGCTTGCTAGGGGCACGAATCCCAAGCAAAAACGAAAGGGTTAGCCCGCACGCGCGCGGCGCCGCGCGCGTATGCTGAAATTCTGATTTTGAGAAGGTTTCACGATCTAGTCTACGAAACGCATATAAGAACATTAAACAAAACAGCATTTCTTATGTTAGAAACAGCAGAAACAAACATAAACATTCACTCATAAACTAACAACGGCTGCGCGCGCTTTCGCGAATTCACCAGGGAGCCATACATTTTCAACATGTTCATCAAAAGCGACCCGGCGGGTCTTTCGCGCGCGCATGTCGAAATCATTTTGCTTTTGCGCGCTTGCTGGGGGGGGGGCGCGATCCATGCCAAATAATAACATGCGGGCCACTCGCGCCCGTCGGCCGCGCACGCAGGCCGAAATTCTTCGAATCCTTCATCATTGACAAGTGGGCACCATCTCCGTCGTCGGCGCGATCAGCATCGGCTCTGTCATTAGCCTTGCCGGCGTCATCGCCATCATCATCACCAGCATCGCTACTATCATTATCTTGCCTGCCGTTGTCGACGTCGCCATGATACCGCACCCGCCCGATTCACCGGCTCGATCTGAAGGGGCCGCGCGTAAACGCGGCTTGCGATTCTTGTTGGGAAGTCCCCAGCGGTCAGCGCCACCGCTGCCGCGTCGGTCGCACCAGAGTAGCTAGCTGCTCTTCGTGCGAGCCTGCGCGCGCCAGCGCGGCCGCAGCGATGCGCCAGCCAGCGCCGCGCAATCATCGCAATCGCCGCCGCATGGGCTTTAACTTTACAAGCCAAGTTGCGGGTTGGGGGGTTTGATGATTGCACGAGCAGTGGAGTTGACAACTCACTGCGAACAAAAATCATGTGCACCACGTGGATGGCACCAAGTAGATTGTACCGCATGCGTTGGACCACATATACTGCACTGCGTGGATTGCACCACGTCCCTTGCAACGCAGGGGTTGCACCACATACAATGCACCACGTAGTTTGCATCCATATGTTGCACAACGCAGATTGCACCACACAGGTTGCACAACATATACTGCACAACATCCATTGCACACCATGTATTGCACCACGTAGGCTACACCACATAGATTTCACCACCTAGGTTGCACAACGTATGTTGTTAGAAACATGCTGTCTGGGGTCCACGTTGGTTAACACATATATGTGTACGTCTACACATATTCGTGTGGAGTTTAACGACTATGCGGGTGTACGCGTATAGCATTTGTGTATTGTTTCTTTCGGTGTAAGAGCGCGCGCGATATCTATATATATATATATACACTATATACAGTATATATAGTACATGTATAGTATCTATAGTATATATAGTATACATATACGTATACGACCAGCCTGCGGGTGATAAGGAGGTTGGGGGGGGGCAGCAATGGGCAAAAGTTGTGATTGTTGTTCTGACGATGCCTGTGGGGCGGAGTCTAGTGAGTAGTGTGATTGTGCACGTGAGCGTGATGTGATGTGGCGATATTGGCGAAGCGCACTCGACATTGTCGTGAAGCGCTGTCCCCGCGTGCGATTTGGTGCAAATCGATTTGCATTTCGATGTGCTTTTCGGTCTGTATGTCGGTTTGCATGCAGACTTGCGTTGGATAGCTCGCCGCAAGCGGCGATGTTTTGAAATGCGCAACCCACGGCGGGACACCAGCGGGACACCAGCGGGACACCGCGGGCCACCGTTTGACGGGAGGAGCATCATTTGGTCTGGCCGCGGCCCGGCCACAGGAGGATTTCGGGACACCAGCGGAACACCAGCGGGACACCGCGGGCCACCAGGAGAAACATTTGGTCCGGCCGCGGCCCGGCCACACGAGGATTTCGGGACACCAGCGGGACACCGGCGGGACACCGCGGGCCACCGGCCGCTGGAGGAGAAACATTTGGTCCGGCCGCGGCCCAGCCACAGGAGGATTTCCTCTCGCCCGCCCACGCAGCTTCGCCTCGCCCGCACGCGCGCACGGCACGCGCGACACGAACCCGAAACCGAAATCGATTTCCTGGTAGGGGGGGTCTCCGTTTCACGTCGGACTCACCCCCAACCTCCGACATATATATATATATATATATATATACACGAAGAGAGAGAGAGAGAGAGAGAGAGAAGGAAAACAAAAAAACAGAGATATATAAACATAGAACAACATAAAGGGATACACAGATAACGATAAAGGGAGAGGGAGAGAAGAGAGAGAGAGAGAGATAGACATACAACCATATCACAACATAAAGGGAGAGAAATAGAAACATAAAGAGAGAACGAGGGAGAGAGAGATAGAGAGAGCGAGAGCGAGAGAGCGAGAGAAGGAAAGAGGAAGAGAGAGAGAGAGAGAAAATGAGAGAGATAGAGAGAGAGAGAGAGAGAGAGAGAAAGAGAGAGAGAGAGAGAGAGAGAGAAAGAGAGAGAGAGAGAGAGAGAGAATGAAAGAGGAAGAGAGAGAGAGAGAGAAAATGAGAGAGATAGAGAGAGAGAGAGAGAGAGAAGGAGACAGAGAGAGAGAGAGAGGCACACACATATACACACAACTGCATCTGTACATTCATATATCCATGCATTGTACATCTGATGAGAGATCTGCTTGTTGTTTCCGATGAGGGGGAATGTGCTCTTGCGCGAGGACTTTTTTATATTTGGAGAGTAGCAGGGATTCTCCGTATCCCGCAGGGGTATCATTGGTTAGTGCATTTTGAAGCAATAGGACACTTTTCAGGGCCACGAGCCCTCTGATTCCTAGAGAATGCCACCAGCAAGTCAAATCATAATCCAAGAAGCTTTGCGGTACACAGACAACACACGATGCAAATAATGTCAGCATGTTGTTGAAGTGTGGGCCGGGGCCGTGCGCGCGTAAACACGATGAGAACTGGGTTCGGAGCCACGGTCTCTGTCGGACCCCCAAAAGGTAAACAACAGCCCGTCATACTTAAAGCAGCAAATTACCCGTGGGACCCGTGTGGCGTGCGGAGCCCGTGGGACCTCTGGGAACTGTGCGACCTGCAGGGCCCGTGGGGCATGTGGGGCCCGTGGGACTTCTGGGGCCCGTGGTGCTTGTGGCACCTCTGGGGCACGTGAGAACGGGGGGAGTTGAGCGACCTGGAACCTGTCGGGCCTGTGGGGCCTGTGGGGCCTGTGTCACCTGCGGGGCGTGGGCAACCTCCTGGACCTGTTGGACCCGTGGGGCCGGTGGGGCCCGTCAGGTCGACGGGGTCCGTGGGACCTGTGGAGCCTGCGGAACTTGCGGGGCCTGTCAGACCTGTGGGACCTGTGGGACCTGTGCAGCCTGTGCGACCTACGGGACCTGTGGGGCCCGTTGGACCTGAGGGACCTGTGGGACCTGTGGGACCTGTGGGACCTGGGGCACCTGTGGGGCCTGTGGGGTCTGCGGGGCTTGCGGCTCCGACGAAGACGAGCTGAAGACTTCTCTTGAAGGGTGCGGCGATAGCCTGGGTTATCGGGCCCGCCCACCCCACCAATGCCCCCTGATAACTTGACTTTGTCGGTTGCACAGGTCCGAATGGGGAGCGCAGTACTGGTGCGTGTGGGGATGCGCGGGGTTGCCCGAAGCGAAACGGGCAGGTAATCGGCCGTCCCCCCCGTTTTCCTCCTCCCCACTGGATAACCCGGGTCGTCGCCGAACATGCAAAACGATCCCCTGCCAGCACCCTGCCAGGCGCGGCAGTCTGCGCCGCCGCGGCGCCCGCAGCGGCGCCCGCTGCGGCGGTCGGCGGGGCCGCGGTAGAGGAGGAGGCTTGTGACCTCGCCGCCGCCGCCGTTCAACTCCAACGATGACGGCCGCCGCGACTACCACTACCACGACGACGACCACTACCACGACCACCACGACCACCACGACCACCACGACCACCACGAACACGGCGACGACGCCGACGATTCTGACGACGGCGACGCCACCACCACGAGCACCACCACCACCTCGACGACGACGACGATGACCACGACGACGATGACGACGGCGACGACCACGACGACCACGACGACGACCACGACGACCACGACGACGATGACGATGACCACGACCGCGACCACGACGACGACGAAGACACGACGACCACGAAGGCCACGACGACGACGACCACGACGACGGTATCGAAAGCAACGGGGGCAATCACTACGACTTCGACCACGACGTCGAAAGCCCCAGCCTAGGAGATTTCAACGACTACGACCCTAGCCGCGTCGGCAGCAACGACGACGACTCCGAGAGCGAGCACGACGACGACCTCGGAGGTCACGACTGCGACCACGACGGCGCGCCGACGTCGACGACGTCGGCGGTGGCCGTGCCGCCCAGGCCAGGCGTGGCGAGTCCGCCCCGGCGGCCGCAATCGCTGGGGCGGTGGCTGCCGCGGCGACGCCCGCGGCGCGGTGGAGTCTGGACCAGGCCGTCTGGGTCCCTGCAGCAGCTGCCGCCGCCGCGTGCCCGACGCCGCCGCCATGCAGCCGCGGCGCCGCCGCGGCCGTCGCGGTCGTGGTCGTCGTCGTCGTCGTCGCAGTCGTGGTCGTGGTCGTTGTCGTGGTCGTTTTCGTCGTCGTCGTCGTCGTCGTCGTCGTCGTCGTCGTCAACGTCGTCGTGGTGGTGTTCGTCGTTGTCGTCGTCGTGGTCGTCGTCGTCGTCGTCGTTGTAGTCGTCGTGGTCGTGCTCGTCGTTGTCGTCGTCGTGGTCGTCCTGGTCGTCGTCGTCGTCGTCGTCGTCGTTGTGCTCGTGGTCGTCGTCGTCGTGGTCGTCGTCGTCATCGTTGTCGTCGTCGCAGTCGTGGTCGTTGTCGTCGTCGCCATGGTGGTGGTCGTCGTCGTGGTCGGCGTCGTCGTGGTCGTCGTCGTCGTGGTCGTGGTGCTGGTGGTGGTTCTGGTCGTCGTCGTCGTGATCGTCGTCTGCGTCGCGGTCGTGGTCGTGGTCGTGGTGGTCGTCGTCGTCGTGTTCGTCGTGGTCGTCGTGGTCGTTTACGTCGTCGTTGTCTTCGTTTTCGTCGTTGCTGTCGTCGTGTCTGTCGTTGTTGTCATCGTTGTCGTCGTCGTGGTCGTCGTCGTCGATGTCGTGGTCGTTGTCGTCGTCGTCGTCGTGGTCGTGGTCGTCGTCGTCGTCGTCGTCGTGGTCGTCGGCGTCGTGATCGAGGTCGTCGTCGTGATCGTCGTCGTCGTCGTTGTCTCCGTCGTCGTCGTGGTCTTGGTCGTGGTCGTGGTCGTGGTCGCGATCGTTGCCGTGGTCGTGGTCGTCGTCGTCGTCGTCGTCGTGGTCGGGGTCGTCGTCGTCATGGTGGTGGTCGTCGTCGTCGTGGTCGTCGACGTCGTCGTTGTGTTCGTGGTCGTCGTCGTCGTGGTCGTCGTCGTCGTCGTCGTTGTCGTCGTCGCAGTCGTTGTCGTTGTCGTCGTCGTCATGGTGGTGGTCGGCGTCATGGTCGTCGTCGTCGTCGTCGTGGTCGTCGTCGTGGTCGTGATCGTGGTCTTGGTCGTCGTCGTGGTCGTGGTGGTCGTCGTCCTCGTGGTCGTTGTCGTCGTCGTCGTCGTTGTCGTCGTCGTCGTGATCGTCGTCTGCGTCGCGGTCGTGGTCGTCGTCGTTGCCGTCGTCGTCTTGGTTGTGGTCGTGGTCGTGGTCATTGTCGTGGTCGTGGTTCTGGTCGTGGCCGTGGTCGTCGTCGTCGTCGTTGTCGTCGTCGTCGTCGTCGTTGCCGTCGTCGTGGTCACGGGTGTCTTCGTCGTCGTCGTCGTCGTGGTCGTCGGCGTCGCGATCGTGGTCGTCGTCGTTGTTGTCGTCGACGTCGTCGTCGTCGTGGTCGTTGTCGTCGTTATAGTGGTCGTTGATGTCGTTGTCCTGGGCGCCGTCGTGGTCGTCGTCGTCGTCGGTGTCGTCGTGGTCGTCGTCGATGTCGTGGTCGTCGTCGTGGTCGTTGTCGTGGTCCTCGCCATCGTGGCCGTGATCGTGGTCGTGATCGTGATCGTCGTCGTGGTCGTGGTCTTGGTCGTGGTCGTCGTCAGGGTCGTCGTCGTTGTCGTTGTCGTCGTCGATGTCGTCGTTGTCGTCATCATGGTGGCGGTCGTCGCCGTCGTCGTCGTGGCCGTCGTCGTGGTTGTCGTCGTTGTTCTTGTTGTTGTTGTTGTTGAACATTATTTCTTCTTAAGAATAATTATTGTTGGGACCCCTGGTGCACGACCCCCCCGCCGCGCCTAGGCCGCAGCCTCATTTTCATCATTTTCGTGAGGAAGTCTCAGGCAAAACGATTAGTACCGGATCCGGTTGTTTTGTTCCCCCCCGCTTTCCCTTGCAAAAAACACTATAAAATGAAAATTCTTGTTCTTACTTGATCAAATTGCAAGAATCCCTTGCAAAAAATAAGGTAAAGTGGACATTCGTGCGCGCAAGACGAAATCCTTCCAAAACCTTAGGTTTCGTAACGATTTTAACATAAAAACATCAAAAACCCAATGGTTTTTTAATAAAAAATTGTCAAAATGTCCTTCCGCACGCTCTTGCGGATTCGCAGGAAAACCAACACTTTTTAAACAATTTTGTCAAACGGGCTTTTGCGAGCTCGAATTTCTGCGACAACGGTTGCGCACCTGCCAGGGCCATCATCCCTGTCAAATAATATCATGCGGGACACATTCGTTTTTTCTTCGCGCGCGCACGCCGAAATTCTGTGGGTGTGTACCCCACGCCAGTGTAGTAGCCACGGTCGTCCGCACGCCACGAAGTGAAGTGTCCCAACGTCATAGGGCGGGAAGCTGGGTTTGGGTGGTCGCGAAGAGTCGTTTGGATATTTGGTAGAGCTTGAACTGCCCCCCCACGAAGTGGGGGTATTGTCTCGCGTCGCATGAAAACCCTGGCACTGGTGAGAACACTGAGCGTTCGGGTAAAATGATTGTTGTTGTTGTTGTTGTTGTTGTTGTCGGCATCGTCATCGTCGTCGTGATGGTGGTCTTCGTCGGGGTCGTGGTCGTGGTCGTGGTCGTGGTCGTGGACGTGGACGTGGTCGTGGTCGTCGTTGTGGTCGTGGTCGTGGTTTTTGTCGTGGTCGTGGTCGTCCTCGTCGTCATGATCGTCGTCGTCGTCGTCGTCGTTGTCGTCGTCATATTCGCGATTGTCGTCGTCGTCGTCGTCCTCGTCGTCGTGGTCGTGGTTTTCGTGGTCGTTGTCGTCGTGGTCGTGGTCGTCGACGTCGTTGTCCTGACCTTGGTCGTGGTCGTGGTCGTGGTCGTGGGGGTGGCGTTGGTCGTGACCGTCGTTGTCTTCGTCGTCGTCGTCGTCGTCGTCGTCGTGGTCACGTTCGTGATCACCTTCGTGGTCGTGTTCGCCCTCGTGATCGTCTTCGGCGTCTTTGTCGTCGTGATCGTTGTCGTCGTGGTCTTCGTCCTGGTCGTCGTCGTCGTCGTCGTCGCCGTTCTGGTGGTGGTCGGCGTGCTCGTGGTCGTGGTCGTGGTCGTGGTTTTGGTCGTCATCGTGGTCGTCGTGGTCGTCGTCGTGGTCGTCGCTGTCGTCGTCGTCGTCGTGATCGTCGCCGTGGTCGTCGTCGTGGTCGTCGACGTCGTCATCGTCGTGGTCGTCGTCGTCGTCGTCGTCGTCGTCGTCGTGGTCGACGTCGTTGTCGTTGTCGTGATCGTGGTCGCGGTCGTGGTCGTGGTAGTTGCCGTCGTGGTCGCCGTCGTCGTGGTTGCGGTTGTCGTTGTCGTCGTCATCGGCGTCGTCGTCAACGTCGTCGGCCTCGTCGCCGTCGTCGTCGTCGTGGTCGTGGTCGTCGTCGTGGTTGTCGTGGTCGTCGCCGTCGTTGTCGTCGTGGTCGTCGTCCTGGTGGTGGTCGTCTTCTGCGTCGATGTCGTCGTCGTCGTCATCGTCGTCGTCGTCGTCGTGGTAGTCGTGGTCGTCGTGGTCTTCGTGGTCGTCGTCGCCGTCGTCGTCGTCGTTGTCGTCGTCGTGGTCGTCGTTGTCGCGGTTGTCGTCGTCGTCGTCGTGGTGGTGGTGGTCGTCGTGGTCGTATTGGTCGTGGTCGGGGTCGTCGTCGTCGTCGTGGTCGTCGTTGTGGTCGTGGTGGTCTTCGTCGTGGTCCTTGTCGTCGTCGTCGTCGTCGTCGTCGTGGTCGTCGTGGTCGTTGTCGTGGCCGTCGTCGGTGCCGTCGTCGTTGCCGTCGTCGTCGACGTTGCCGTCGTCGTGGTCGTGGTAGTGGTCGTGGTGGTGGTCGTGGTCGTCGTCGTCGTCGTCGTCGTGGTCGTCGTGGTCGTTGTCGTGGTCGTCGTCGTTGCCGTTGTCGTCTGGGTCGTCGGCGTCGTCCTGGTCGTGTTCGTCGGGATCGTCGTCGTCGTCGTGGTGTTGGTGGTGGTTGTGGTCGTCGTCGTCGTGGTCGTCATTGTGGTCGTTGTCCTGATCGTGGTCGTGGTCGTGGTAGTGATCGTCATCGACGTCGTCGTGGTCGTCGTCGTCTTCGTCGTCGTCGTCGTCGTGGTCGTCGTCGTGGTCTTTGTTGCGGTCGTGGTCATGGTGGTGGTCGTGGTCGTCGTCGTCGTCGTAGCGGCGGTCGTCGTCGTTGTCATTGTTGTGGTCGTGGTCGTCGTTGTCGTGGTCCTCGTTGACATCGTCGTTGTGGTCGTCGTTCCTCGTCGTGGTAGTCGTCGTCGTCGTGCTCGTCGTCGTCGTCGTCGTCGTTGTCCTGGTCGTCGTTGTCGTCGTCGTCGTCGTCGTCGTTGTCGTCGTCGTCGTCGTCGTTGTCGTTGTCGTGGTCGTCGTCGTGGTCGTCGACGTCGTCGTCGTCGTCGTTGTCGTGGTCGTGGTTCTGGTCGTGGTGGTGGTCTTCGTCGTTGTCGTCGTCGTCGTCGTTGTCGTCGTCGGCCTCGTCGCCGTCGTCGTGGTCGTCGTCGTGCTCCTCGTCGTCGTCGTGGTCGTCTTGGTCGTCGTCGTCGTCGTCGTCGTCGTCGTCGTGGTCGCTGTCGTGGTCGTTGTGGTCGTCGTCGTTGTCGTCGTCGTGGTCGTCGTGGTTGTCGTCGTTGCGTTGTCCGCGTCGTCGTCGTCGTGGTCGTCGTCGTAGTTGTCGTCGTCGTCGTGGTCGTGGTTCTGGTTGTTGTCGTGGTTCTGGTCGTGGGCGTGGTCGTCGTCGTCGTCGCCGTCGTCGTTGTTGCGTTTGTCGTCGTCGTCGTCGTCATCGTCGTCGTCGTTGGTGTAGTCGTGGTCGTCGTGGTCGTCGTGGTCGGGGCCGTCGTCGTCGTCGTCGTCTTGGTCGTCGTCGTTGTCGTCGTCTTCGTGGTTGTGGCAGTGGTGGTTGGGGTCGTCGTCGTCGTCGTCGTCGTCGTCGTCGTCGTCGTCGTGGTCGTCGTCGGTGTGGTCGTTGTCCTGGTCGTGGCCGCCGTCGTGGTCGTGGTCGTGGTTGTACTCGCTGTCGTCGTGGTCGTCGTCGTGGTCATCGTCGTCGTCGTCGTGGTCGTCGTCGTCGTCGTCGTCGTCATCGTCGTCGTCGTCGTCGCGGTCGTCGACGTCGTCGTGGTCGTCGTCGTCGTCGTGTTGGTGGTCGTCGTCGTCGTCGTCATCGTCGTCGTCGTCCACGTCCTCGTCGTTGTGGTCGTCGTTGTCATTGCTGTGGTCGTGGTCGTGGTCGTGGTCGTTGTCGTGCTTGTCGTCATTAACGTCGTGGTCGTCGTCGTGGTCGTTGTCGTCGTCGTCGTCGTCGTTGTTTTCGTCGTCGCCGTCGGCGTCGTCGTCGTCGTCGGAGGAGACAAATTATGAGAGTCGGCGGCGAGCGAGGGGGGAAAGTGAGAAGGAGAAGGCCTTCTCAGAAGGCGGTGGGGCTTCTCAGAAGGCCGCAGGCCTTCCGAGAGGTTTTCTGTGTCTTCGTGGATGGCGTAGGAGACCTTTCAGAAGGCCAGGGGACTTCCGAGCCTTTGAGAAGGCCCGCCCGTTCTCACTTTCCCCCGGGCTCGCCACCGAGAGAAGGAAGAGGATAAGGAGGAGGCCCCAGACCCCCGACGTCGTGATTTTTTCACAACGTCGACCCCCAGAGGTCTCGACCCATTCCCTGGGGCCGGCTCTTCATCCCGAGTCGTTTCTTGACGGTCCCTGGGCCCGGCAAGGGGGCCCCAGGAGCCGAAAACAGTGCCAAGCGCTACGTCGTGACTTTTTCGCGACGCGAGAGGCCCCCTCTCCCTGCCAGGTGGACCTGTCCTTCGTCAAGATGGACGGCAAGCCGCCGAAGTACCAAAAGCGGACCATGGCCGAGGCCCGGCGTGCGCCCCTCGGCAGGGGCGGCACCCAGGCGCGCCGCGACGACTCGGCGCGGTCGCCGGCGTGGCCCATGGAGGGGGCTTTCGGAGGGGAGGCGGAGGCGGGCAGGGAGGGAGGCAGGGAGGGAGGGAGGGAGGGAGGGAGGCAGGGAGGGAGGGAGGGAGGGAGGAGGAGGAGGAGGAGGAGGAGGAGGAGAGAGGAGGAGAAGGAGGAGAGGAGAAAGAGGAAGAGGATGGGGAGGAGGATGGGGAGGAGGAGGAGGAGGAGGAGGAGGAGGGAGGAGGAGGAGGAGGAGGAGGAGGAGGAGGAGGAGAGGAGGAGGAGGAGGAGGGAGGAGGAGGAGGGCGGAGGAGGAGGAGGAGGAGGAGGAGGCGGAGGCGGAGGCGGAGGCGGAGGCGGAGGCGGAGAGGAGGTGGAGGAGGAGGAGGAGGTGAGGACCAGGAGAGGAGGCGGAGGAGGAGTAGGAGAGGAAGAGGAAGAGGAGGTGGAAGGAGGGAGGAAGGAGGATGGAGGAGGAGGAGGAGGAGGCGGAGAGGAGGCGGAGGAGGAGGTGAAGGAGGAGGTGGAGGAGGAGGAGGAGGAAGAAGAGGCGGAGGCGGAGGCGGAGGAGGAGAAGGCGGAGGAGGAGGAGGAGGAGAAGGCGGTGGAGGAGGAGGAGGAGGAGCAGGATGAGCTGGAGGAGGAGGAGGAGGAGGAGGAGGAGGAGGAGGAGGAGGAGGAGGAGGACCAGTGTACACTCAAGACGCATCAACGATGTGGGAAAGCCTCCCTCCAAACTTTTTCTTCATACGCCTCATACAAGGGTTCATGTTCTTCTGAGGGAACGGCCTCGTTGGGAGACAACCGTCAGAAGACCCTGCAGCGTGCTAAAACACCATTCTCGGGACCCCAACGCCGCGACTCAACATGACTGCTGCGTCTTGACGATCCAGAATTGTACCAACACGCCATCACTGGGACTTCGACATCACCAGTCAGCGTAACAGCTGCGCTCTTACAATCTGGAGTCTTTCCAAAACACTACGTACGTTTGTCTGGTACGCTGACCATGGGAACCGTTGACACTCTTGCAAATGTTAACGACGAGTGTGCGCGGCGCTAATGCGAGAGCCACACTTTGAAAAGGAGCCGCCCTCCATTCGTGAAACTCCTGCACAGTTTCGAAAATAATGTGCTCGGCGCTATTGCGAAAGCCAGATTTTGAAAACGATCCGCCCTGATTCCGTGAAGCTGTTGCACATGTTTACGATTAATGTGCGCTGCGCTGAGGCGAGAGCCACATTTTGAAAAAGACCCACCCTCAATCCGTGAAACTGTTGCACATTTTCAAAACGAATGTGCGCGGCATGTTGAAAACCATCCGCCCTATATCTGTGAAGCTGTTGCAAATTTTCAAGACGACTGTGCGCGGCGCTAAGGCGAGAGCCACATGTTGAAAACCATCTGCCCTCCGCAATCTTTGAAACGCATGTGCGCGGCGCTAAGGCGAGAGCCACATGCTGAAAACGACCCGCCCTCCATCTGTGAAGCTGTAGCCAATTTTTAAAGCTAAGGTTCAACACTTGTGAGGGAGTCCCTGGCGAAACGCCCGGCCCGCCGTTTCGATTGGCCTCGGGGTGCGATAGGGAGGAGTTATTCATAAGGAAAAGGAATGGAGGAGGAGGAGGAGGAGGAGGAGGAGGAGGAGGAGGAGGAGGAGGAGGAGGAGGAGGAGGAGGAGAGGAGGAGGAGGAGGAAGAAGGGAAGGAGAAGGTGAGCCTTACCCTTCTCTCTCCTCCTCCGCCTCCGCCTCCTCTTCCTTTTCTCCCTCCTCCTCCACTTCTACCTCCTACTCCTTCTCCTCCGTTTTGACGTCGAGCAGGCTCCCAGCGCTAGGCTCGCAGTGTTCGCCCTCTCTTCCTTCCCCTCTTCCTCCTCCTCCTCCTCCTCCTCCTCCTCCTCCTCCTCCTCTTCCTCCTCTCTTTTCATACCTTCCTCTCTCCTGCCTCCTCATCCGCTCCTCTCCTCCACTCTTCCTCCCCCGCTTTCTCTGGTAAGAGACGGAAAGGCTCTTTTGCTTAAGTGCGAGTGTCGTGATCTCCACAACTGCTAACTTGTCCCCTGCGCCTCCATTTGGCACACTCAGCGGCGATAGTGGAAGAGCACGGAGTTGCGGGTGGTGCGCCGGGCTTTCGATTGTGGCTGCCGTCTGGACCACGCGAAGGACGCTGACTTGTACGAGCAGCCGTCGCAGAGACCTTGAGCTCGAACACGTCGTCTGGGGCTGGACGAAACGGGGGACACGGGGAAAGGATGGGGGTACGAAACTTGCCGCATGCAGCTGGGTTCGGCCCCGCCGCGGGGCGCCGGAGCACCAGCCGCGTGGGCCGAATCGCTGGCACCCCCCGTGCTATCCCCCCTTCTCGTCTGGCCCGATCCTGCTCCTCCTCGCTCCTCGTCACTGCTTCCTCTCCTTCCCCCTCCCTCTCTGCCCTCTTTCCTCCTGCCCCCTCCCTGCTCGCTTCCTCCTCCTGACGCCGACGCTGGTCGCTGGTGGCGAGTTCGCCCGTGGGGGGCCGACGCCATCGACCCCTCCTGGCCTCGGCCAATGCCGAGGGGGAGACCTCCTCCTTCTCCGTGTCCTCCTCCTTTTCCTTCCTGCTTTTTTCCTGCTTCTTCCTGATCCATCCTCTTCCCCCTCCTTCTCCTCCTCCTCCTCCTCCTTCTCCTTCCTGCTTCTCTCTGCTCGTTCCTGGTCCTTCCTGCTCCTTCCTGCTCCCCATCACCCCCCCCTACCCCTCTTCCCTCTCCCCCCTCGCTTTCGACCCCCTGGTCGCGCTTCCTTGCTTCCGCCTCATCCGTCGTCCCTTCCTATCTCCTCCCTTTTCCCCCGTTTTCGTCCCACCTTGACCGTCCTCCTCCTCCTCTCCTCCTCCCCCTCCTCCTCCTCCTCCTCCTCCTCCTCTCCTCTCCTCTCCTCTCCTCTCCTCTCTCCTCTCCTCTCCTCTCCTCTCCTCTCCTCTCCTCTCCTCTCCTCTCCTCTCCTCTCCTCTCCTCTCCTCTCCTCTCCTCTCCCCCCTCCCACTTTTTTGTTGTTTTTGTTTTTCCTCTTTCTTTCTCTCTCTCTATTTCGCCTTTTTCCCAATGCGGCTTTGCCAAAGACGTTCTTTCTTGTTTTTCCCCAGCCAGGCTTGCCTAAGGGTTTTTATATATGTTTTTCCCAACCATCCTGTGGTGTTGGGTCCTCGTTTTGAAGATACAGCGCCCCGCGTTCTCCAGCCTCCTTTCTCCCCCTCCTCTCTCCTCCCCCTCCTTGCCTCTGCTCTCTGCATGCCCATCACATTTCGGCATACCCTCACACGTGTCGTGGCCCCATATGGAGCTCCACCGAAGGCACCAGCGGCAGGGTCCACATGGCGTGCCCGCACCCGCTTCGGCGTACCCCTCACGTTTCGTGGCCCCAGAGGGACCGCCACCGAGGGCCACAGCGGTAGGGTCAACCTGGCATACCTGCGCCCGCTTCGGCGCACCCCTCACACGTTTCGTGGCCCCATAGTGGGTTCCACCGAAGGCCCCAGCGGCAGGGTCCACATGGCGTGCCGGCGCCCGATCCAGCGCACCCCTCACACGTTTCGTGGCCCCAGAGGTAGTTCCACCGAAGGCCCCAGCGGCAGGGTCCACATGGCGTATCCGCACCCAATTCGGCGCACCCCTCACACGTGTCGTGGCCCTGTAGGGAGCTCCACCGAAGGCCCCAGCGGCAGGTTTCACATGGCGTGCCCGTTCCCGCTTCGGCGTACCCCTTACACGTTTCGTGGCCCCAGAGGGAGTTCCACCGAAGGCCCCAGCGGCAGGGTCCACATGGCGTACCCGCGCCCGATTCGGCACATCCTCACACGTGTCGTGGCCCTGTAGGAAGCTCCACCGAAGGCCCCAGCGGCAGGGTCCACATGGCGTGCCCGCACCCGCTTCGGCGTACCCCTCACACGTTTCGTGGCCCCAGAGGGAGCTCCACCGAAGGCACCAGCGGCAGGGTCCACATGGCGTACCCGCGCCCGATTCGGCACACCCTCACACGTGTCGTGGCCCTGTAGGGAGCTCCACCGAAGGCACCAGCGGCAGGGTCCACATGGCGTGCCCGCACCCGCTTCGGCGTACCCCTCACATGTTTCGTGGCCCCAGAGGGAGCTCCACCGAAGGCCCCAGCGGCAGGGTCCACATGGCGTACCCGCGCCCGATTCGGCACACCCTCACACGTGTCGTGGCCCTGTAGGGAGCTCCACCGAAGGCACCAGCGGCAGGGTCCACATGGCGTGCCCGCACCCGCTTCGGCGTACCCCTCACATGTTTCGTGGCCCCAGAGGGAGCTCCACCGAAGGCCCCAGCGGCAGGGTCCACATGGCGTACCCGCGCCCGATTCGGCACACCCTCACACGTGTCGTGGCCCTGTAGGGAGCTCCACCGAAGGCACCAGCGGCAGGGTCCACATGGCGTGCCCGCACCCGCTTCGGCGTACCCCTCACATGTTTCGTGGCCCCAGAGGGAGCTCCACCGAAGGCCCCAGCGGCAGGGTCCACATGGCGTACCCGCGCCCGATTCGGCTCACCCCTCACACGTCTCGTGGCCCCATATGGGGCTCCACCGAAGGCCCCAGCGGCAGGGTTCACATTGCGTGCCGGCGCCCGATCCAGCGCACCCCTCACACATTTCGTGGCGCGGGCATGCAAACAGCAGAAGTCGAAACAGTGCGGCCTGGGCACCGCCGGGGGTCGATGCTGGGTGGCGCTACGTCCTTTTTCGGCCTCCCGAGGGGCGCCACGACGCGTTACCACTTCCGCCACCAGCAGAACCCCTTGAAGCGGAGAAGCGAAATCTGATGCAGGGACACGTCCCCAGGCTGTGATAATGCAATGCCTCTCCAGACCTGCGAGCCGCTGCCCCTGACCCAGGCCAGAGGAAAAAGCGAAGGCCCCAGCGGCAGGGTCCACCGAAGGTCCCAGGCCGTTTCGTGGCTCCATAGGGAGCTCCACCGAAGGCCCCAGCGGCAGGGTCCACATGGCGTACCCGCCGCCGTTTCGGCACACACCCCTTACACGTTCCAATTCGGTGTGCATGTCGTACGTTTCGTTGCCCCCTGGGCAGCTCCACCAGCGGCGGTATTCACCACTGCGGCATTCATAACTGAAGATGGTTGGGTCCTTCGCCAGGCTAATTGAACAGCCCGTGTGTGCGAGGCCTGGGCTAGCAGGCGTTCCTCGGGGTTGCTGGGTCTGTTTCTTTAACGGTGGCGTTCCTCTGGGTTCCCTGGTCTTGGTTCTTCACAGTGACGTTCCTCGGGGTTCCCTTGTGTTCCTCGGGGTTGCTTAGTTTTGTTGCTCTTGCAGTGCCAATGCACAGCAATGCCCAGCAATGCCAAGCAATGCAAATCAATGCCCAGCAAGGCTTAGTCATGCCAAGTAATGTAAGGCAGTGCCAAGCAATGCCAAGCGATGTCAGGCGATGCCCAGGAACACGAAGCAATGCCACGCAGTGCCAAGCGATGCCAAACTATGCGAAGCCACGCGATGCTAATCAATGCCGAGCACCGTCAAGCAATGCCAAACACTGCCAAGCGAGGCTAATACATGCAAAGCAATGTCAAGCACTGCCAAGCAATGTCAAGCAGTGCCAAGCACTGTCAAGCACTGCGTAGCAATCCCAAGCAATGGTTCGAAGCAGCGCCAAGCAACATCAAGCAATGTTGTCGTTTTTTGTTGTTGTTTTGTTTTGCCGATCGGCGCGGGCCCTCGCAACCCCCCCTCGCCCCGCCCCCAATGAAGTAGATCTTTGCTATTTTTGGCGCCTGTTTCGAGCATGTGGAGTCTCAACCACAGAACGCACTGCTGCAAACAGTCGCACTAAGCAGAGGTCCGGAGCCAGACACCTCCCCTCCCCTCCCCTTCCGCCCAATGCCAAAACGCCGAATAAGAGAACGATCACAATGCCAAAACATGCAAATCAATGCAATGTCAAGCGAAGCAATGCAATGCCAAGCACTGCCAAGCAACGCCGCTTGGGAAGCGTTCCCCTGATTGTGGTCGCGCCAGGTTCATGTGAAAGAACTGGAGGGTGTGGGGTGCCAATTCAGAGGCTGCCCGCAGCGTTGGTCGGTTCCCTTGTCTTGGTTTCCTTTCGGCGTTGCTCAGGTTCCCCAGTCTTGTTCCTTTGGTTCGCCAGTCCTTTTTCGATTCTGCGGTCTTGTTCGTTAGATTTCTTTTTCGGTTTCCCTTGTGGTATTCTTTGGGTTCCCCAGTCAATTTGCTTTGGTTTCTCTGTCATTGCAATGCAAAGCAATGCCAAGTGTTGCCGAACAATGCCAGGCAATGCTAAGCAATACCATGCGCTGAGAAGCAATGCCAATCAATACCAGGCAAAACCAAGAGGTGCAATCCAACGCAATGCCAAGCAATGGCAGTTAACACCAAGGCAATGCCAATTCATGCTAAGCAATATCAAGCAGTGCCAAGCAGCGTTAAGCACTACATATCAATCCTAAGCAGAGGTTCCAAGCAAAATCAAGCAACATCAAGCAACGCAACAAACATGCAAATCAATGCAATGTCAAGCGAAGCAATGCAATGCCAAGCAATGCCAAGCAACGCCGCTTAGGAAGCGTTCCCCCGATTGGGGTCGCGCCAGGTTCATGTGGAAGAACTGGTGGGTGTGGGGTGCCAATTCAGGGGCTGCCCGCAGCCTTGCTCGGTTCCCTTGTCTTGGTTTCCTTTCGGCGTTGCTCAGGTTCCCCAGTCTTGTTCCTTTGGTTCACCAGTCCTTTTTCGATTCTGCGGTCTTGTTCGTTAGCTTTCTTTCTCGGTTTCCCTTGTGGTATTCCTTGGGTACCCCAGTCAAGTTGCTTTGGTTTCCCAGTCATTGCAATGCAAAGCAATGCCAAGCCTTGCTGAGCAGTGCCAGGCAATGCTAAGCAATGTCAGGCGCTGAGAAGCAATGCCAATCAATACCAGGCAAAACCCAGGAATGCAATCCAACGCAATGCCAAGCAATGGCAGTTAACACCAAGGCAATGCCAATTAATGCTAAGCAATGCCAAGCAGTGCCAAGCAACGTCAAGCAATGCCAAGCACAGCCAATCACGGTTCGAAGCAACAACAAGCAACGCCAAGCAATGCCAAGCAATGACAAGCAATGCTAAGCAACGACAAGCACCTTCAAGTTAGATCAAACAATGCCGATCAATGCCAAGCAATCAATTCCAAGCAACGATTCTCAGCAAACGTTCCAATAACAATCAAGCAATATCAAACAATGCAAATCAATCTCAGGCAACGCTTTGCATTGCTTTGCTTTGCGCTGCGCAGAACGACTTTGAATTGCTGCGATACAGCGACGACCCATAATTGGGGTCACGACTGTTTATTGCTAAGGCCTTACGGCCGGTGCCGCCGACCCTGAAGACGACGACGACGACGAATACGAGGAGGAGGAGGAGGAGGAGCAGGAGGAGGATGAGGGGGATTCAGGTGGAAGGGAGCAGGAGAAGGAGATGTTCCCCATGTGGGCCGACGCAGTCGTAGCAGAGACAGACAGAGAGCCCGGTGGCCTGCGGCCCTTCCCGGGACCGTGCTGGGGTTGCAGTTGAAAGGCCTCTTGGATGTTTTCGGGCCTGTTGGGGCCTCTGTTGGGCCTCTTGGGGGTCTCTTGGGGGCCTCTTCGGGCCCCTTGATGGACTCTTGGGGCCTTCTGGGGGCTTCTTGGGGCGGGAAGCTCGAAATGTCGGTTCGTGGTCCTCTTCTTGGGCCTGCTTGGGGCCCTCTTGGGGCGTTCTTGGGCTGTCTTGAGGTTCTCTTGGGCCGTCTTGGGGCCCTCTTGGGCTGTCTCGCGGCCTTCTCGAGGGCCTCTTGGGCACCCTTGGACCTTCTTGGGGGCCTCTTAGCGCACTCTTGGCGCGTCTTGGCGCTTTTTTGGGCTCCCGGACGCCCAGGGGCGGATGCGTATCTGACCCCCTCCCTCCCCCCCCGGGATCCTCCCGGCCCCCCCCCCTGGACCCCCCCCGGGGACCGCCCCGGGACCCCTTCTCGGGACCGCCCCCCCCCCCCCCGTGGCGGGGGAGGGATCCAAGGGAAGGGGCTTCCCTTCGACTTCAGTACGATGTTGCTACGGTTTTTTCCCGCAAGGTTTGGCTCAAGCGGTTGCGGTAGGTGCTTTATCCCCCTAGGTACCGCATAGGAGCCATGTCCGTGGATGGTGCTGTGCTGCTCGCAGCCGCCGTCCGCGCAGCTTGCCAGGCGAAGGCGCCTCGTCGAACCATCCAGGCGGTTGCCGCTGCTGTCACGGGCGTTCTCGTCGGGCCGATGGCGGAGGCCGTGCCTCGACCGCGTTCCGAGGTGCCCGCCCGTGCGCAGGGCGCACCCGTTCCAGCTCCCGCCGAGGACCCTGCCGTCCTGGTGGACACGCTGCGGGCCGCTCGCCGCGCTCAACGTGCTCGGGAGAAGGTAAGACGCCGCGATGCCAAGCAGGCAACCTCCACGACCGCGGACGTTCTTGCCGGCTCGGTTGACAGTATGCGTCGCGCTGCTGAACCAACCACTGGTGGTGCGGCCAGCCGCGGCGCGGAGCCGCGGGGTGACTCTGCAGAGCGGTCCGCCCAGGCACCGCCAGGTCCTTCTGCCGGCGATGCTCCACCTGGCGCGCCCGCAGAATGTCCTCTCATTCTGCCAGATTCACTCGCCGATCAGTCGTCGGCTCCAACAGGCACTTTGCGAGCCTCGGTGCAATCTGGGACCTGGGGAGGCCATTCCGTCCATACCCTCGGAAGGTCAGAGGTCGACGACACCGCTGTGGCGCCCAGCGCAGCCTCGGCAGGGAACGGCCGCGCGGCGCCATACGCTGCCGCTCCTTACAGCAAATCTGGGCGGCATGGGAAGGGTCCGCCTGGCCTTCCAGCTCGCAAGCCCATCATCCGTGCTCAAATACTTCAGTTGGGTGGCTAATACTGCGAGCGGTTCTGCTCTTTTGTATTTCATGTTCCTGAGGCAGTTCATCTTCTGAGGGGTGAAATTCCCTACGGCGTCTCATTCCGTCTGCACGCCAATCTTAGGCAGCGATTGGCTGCACCGGGCTTCAACCGCCCTGCTCGTCTGACTTTTCCGCTGGCAGGCAGCCCCTGTCCCTTTCTATTACACGGTTTTCTCCTGCTGGCAGGCTTGAAGAGGAGGGTGCAAGGGAAAGGGGACGACGGAGACGCAGGGAAAGATGACAACGGATGCGTCGACTGAGCGCACGCCGACGGGGGGTCCACGCGCCGACAGGGTCGACGGATTATATATTTATATATAACTGTATATCCCTATACATACATATGCATGCTTGCGATGGTTTCTTTCTGTTTCGCTCCCTCTCTATGCACATGTGTGTAGACATGTGTTCTCTGCCTCTCTCTGTATACATATACGCTCCACCAGCCATCCGCCTTCCTGTTCCCCCCCCTCCCCCGTTCCTCGGACTCCTACCGTTCCCTCTCCTCTTCCTCCTCTTCCTTCCCTTTCTCCTTGGTATCGTCCCTTCCTCCTCCTCATCCTTTTCTTCTGTTCCCTATCCTCCGTGGTTCGTCGTCGTCGTCGTCGTCGTCCTTTTCGTCGTTTTCGTCCTCCCCCTCCACCTTTTCCTCCCCCTTCTCCTCACTTCCGCCGTCTCCATACATCTCTTCCCTTTGCTGCATTCTTACTTTTCTGTCCCCTTTTTCGCCTACCCCTCACTCCTCCCCTCCCCCATCATGTCCTCCTTCGCACCATCGTCCTCGCATTCCTCTTTTCGCTTTCCCTCTCCTCATCCCTCATTCTCTTCTTCATAGCCACCACTTCTACCATCGTCATCGTCCCCTCCTCCTCGCCCGCCTCCTCCGAGCTGCTGCGCCTTGTTTTCCTGGCCTCGCCCCGCACGGGGCCAGACCGAGGTCTGCTCTGCCCCGAGGGCGTGTCCGAGGGCCAGAAGTGCGGGTACGAGTTCGCCCTGCGCGACCGCGGGGGCCTCGGAGGGCGTGCAAGCAGGGATGATGCGGATGGGGGAAGGTGTGTGTGTGTGTGTGTATGTGTGTGTGTGTGTGTGTGTTTGTGTGTGCTACTGACTCCGCCTTGTCTCCGCGCGCGATGCCGCTTCCGCTAAAACAGTTTGTGTGTGACTGGCTAATGTCACCTTTCGCCCTCATCGTAGTTTCGTCTACTCACCGCCCTCCCCGCAATCCGTGCCCGGATGGTTCTGGCTGCGAGACGCCAAACGGTCTCTGAGTGCTCGGCCCGGTGTAGACGCGCCTACTTTACTGCCTGCACTCGACTTTCTCCGCCCCGTGGCCGCGCGTTGGGCCGCGACGCGAAACATCGTTCATGTGTGTGTGTGTGTGTGTGTGTGTGCGCATGTGCGTGCGTGTGTGTGTGTGTGCGTGTGTGTATCTGCGTGCCTGCAAATGTGAATGCGAATGAGACTGTGAATGTGAATGTGCATGTGAATGTGAATGTGGATGTGAATGCGAGTGTGTATATATAAATATGTGTGTGTCGGAGGTGAGGGGGTGAGATCGAAGTGGAACGGAAAGCCCCCCTACCGCGAAATCGGTTTCGGTTTCGTGTTCGTGCGTACCGTGCGTGCGGGCGAGGCGAAGCTGCGTGGGCGGGCGAGAAGAAAGTCTCCTGTGGCTGAGGCGCGGCCAGACCAAATCACTCCCTTCTGGCAACCGGTGGCCCGCGGTGTCCCGCCGGTG